GGTTTTGACATGTTATTATTGGTTAAAACTTGTGCTGTGGGATCAGTGTATAGTAGTCTTATCCATTTTAGAAAGGCTTCACCAAATCCATATTTAGGAAGCACTTTAAATAGGTAGTTCCACTCTATTCTGTCGAAAGCTTGACGTGCGTCTAATGATAGCATCGCTGTGTCCTGACAATCATGTTTTTTATGCAATACATTTAGAACCCGTCTTATATTATGTGTTGTCGGAAATTTTTTATCTCTTTTCTATTATATATTAATTTATCCTATTTACTCACTATAAAAGTTTAGTGGCATAGCTTCTTCCATAACAAACCAGATTCTTTCTCCAGGTTTATTCATAACATGTTACTGTTTAACCAAAGTGTCTGTCATTAGTTTTCACTCTGACTGTTTTCCATTGTTGTCAGTAAGGAGGAACGAACGCTGCTGGATCAGAACAGGGCAGAATGCTGCCATTAGGGCTGCATGATGAACTGTTCTCTCTTTGCAAAGATATCAATAAATGTGCCGACTGAGTGAAATCCATCCATCTCCGTTTATTTAACTAGGATGAATAGTTGAATGCTTTCGCCTTTGTGAGAATAAGTTCTTTGTCCTTGTAGCGTAGAAATTTTACAACAACTGGTCTTGGTGTTGTTGTTTGAAGTTTCCAATACGTTGAGCTCTTTCAATTTCAATAGATTTCGGATCAATTTTAAGCTCGTCATTAAAAAATTCCCTCACTTTCTTCTCAGAATCTGGCCAAGATTCCAATGCACTATCCTGGGTTAAGCCATCGATTATCAGATTATGTCTGCGACTCTGATTATCAAGGAAATGAATTTTTGAGGCAAGATCATTCACTTCAGATTTAGTGCACAATGAGGACAGCTGCTGCAGCTGAGATTCAAATGAGTCCATCTTCTCCTCCATTGCCCTAAAGTCATTAATATAAGCTTGGGAGAACTGAAGGCTGGTCTTCACCTCCTGCACATCTTTAATAATCCCATCAGTTCTAGTGTTTACAGAATGCAGCATTGTTTTTATGAAAGACAGGAAGCTTGATTCTTGCCTATCTAGCATGCCAACAATGTAAAACTGCTTTTGTTCTTCCAACATGTCTTTCTAAACATCCATAGTGACATAGTCTTCTTCATTGTGAAGTGATTTCTTGCTGCTACTTCGTGACATGAGTGCCTGTTTTTGTGGATTATTGTGGATTTTAAAGAGGCCAGAGACCCAGCCAGGTGATCCAGGGAGGAAGGCCAAGGCTGGTGAACATCCTTCAAATATCAGCTCTTTCAAAGACATCCAGTCCTTTTAGTTCGGTTATCCTTTCAGTTAGAAGTTAAGAAAACTTGTTGTAGAAAAGTATCATCATGCGCCGGGATTGACGGCGCATGATGATCATAAATAACTGAATTTGAAATATTTTATCTTAAATAAATAACACCGTTTGATTCACACAGCCACATGTTCATGTTTCTGGTTTGGAGTGGAGAGGGAGTTTCCACTCATCGGGCAGAGAGCTGTGTGCATTCTTCTTCCCTTTGCCACATCATATCTCTGTGAGATGGGCTTTTCAGCTGTTGCTTCACTGAAAACAAAGCCTGACTTGAGAGTGGCAGTATCAAGCCTGCAACACCGTTTTGATAAACTGTGCAATGCAAAAC